GCACATGGTTCCCTACAAAATGGAGGTCCCTTAATGGATGGGACGCCGGCCACTCGGCTCCCATGCAAGGCTGCCGCCGTGGGCGTCACCGGGAAGCGGGCCGCCCACCACCCCGCCTGGCCCTTGGGTCGCCCGGCTGCTCGGCCCGAAAGTGACTCGGAGGCCGAGGAGGGCGGCCCGGTCCGTCTGGGCGTCCGCGGGCCTGCGCCTATCTGGTCAGGCGCTGCCTCGGCCATGGCTGCCCGTCCCTCTCTCGCAGCTCCTCTCAGCCGCCCGTCGGGCCCAGCGCGGCGCGCTGGAGGCGGTGGAGGCAGAGTGGAACCGCCCAGCCTCGGAGCCCCAGCCCGGTGGCCGCGAGCTGCATCCGAGCCATGCGCCCCGCCGGTGGGCGTCCTCGCCGGCCTCCATGCCGCCTCAGGAGGCCGCGCTTCACCCGCCTTCCACCCGTGTTCCTGCTCTGCCCGGCGCCGGGGGGCGGGAAGACGCACGCCTGACCCCGAGGCATCGGCGGTCAGCGTGCGGTCTCCGCGGTAACCCGCGGCTCCGGGGCGCCCTTCGCGCCAGGAGGCGCCACATCTCACGGGCCTGAGAGGGGCCCTTGGCCAGTCATCCTCCCTGCCGGACGCCTGCGGGGCCACGTGCCCCGCCGGCCCTTTCAGGAAGCATTTATGTTAAGACAAAAAACACACCCTCCAAACTTCTATTGTTTTAGGAAACAAACTAATTCAACTGTTTGAGAGTTAAGTTCAGCGAAATTTAAAAAATTAAATTATTTAACTCTTTGTTCATATTCAATTCCAAAGTATTGTTTCACTTTAACTTCCTCCACAACACATTTAAGTAACTCACCAGTAGTGGGCATGCAGGAGGCAGCCAATCGATGTGTTCTCTCACATAGATGTTTCTGTCTTTCCCACTCTCTTCCACTCTCCCAAAAAATCAATGGAAACGTATCCTCAGGTGAGGATTAAGCCCTCCCACCCCCCAAAATCAATACAAATATTAAAATTTAAAAATACTGGAACCAAACCTCACATCACTTTGATTTAAGATAAATTATATTTAATCTTTTTCTTGTTTGGCAGGCAGCCAGATAAATTGGTGGTAGTTTGGACAAGAAGAAGCCGAAGGAAGTCTTCTAAGGTTAGTCTGTTTCTACATTTCTCACCTAAATATTGAATTCAATTTTAAGTTAAATTATTAAGCTTCTCTGGCCCTACCATTGAATATTTTAAAGCATTATTAGATGTCTTAGGTTATTTCTAGTCTACTAAAATGATTGACCAGGCATTGTAATCTTGTTCTAAAGTTCTTAAAATGGAAGCCCGATATCTGAGCCTTGATCTTGGATTTGGTAGCCTGGAGTAAGTAGTTATCTAACTTCCCTATACTAGGGTATCATGAATTAAATAGGCACCACTTATAAAATGTACGTAGGAATAATTTATTCAGATTCCAAGAGGATGAGGTTGGGGCACACATAAGGAATGATGAGTTATCTGAGTCCATTGCTGAGTTGAAGAAGAGAAGGGTTTGTTTTTTTCAAAGGCTTATATTTTTTGGACTGATAGCTTTATGGAGAGTAGAATAGAATTTTAAAATGTTCAATAGCAATTGCACAGATTTTTATTTAGGGTATCTTTTCAAATTTTATTTTTATTGAGCTAAAATTTACATACAGTGTAACACACAGATGTTAATTATATGATGTAGTGAGTTTTGATTAATATATACTTGTATAATTACCATTCTTATCAAGATACAGACTATTTCCACTATTTCCATCAGTATGTTTCTGAGGTGTAGTCATGTTATTTTGTATATTGGTAGTTTTTTATTCCTGAGAAGTATTTCATTATGTAAGTAATACTGCAATGTAATCTATACTAATAAAAGCATAATATGCTAATTAGACCAGACGTCCTTCTGGACGTCCTTCCAGACGAAGCCAGGGCTACGAGGGCTGAGGCAGCTGCTGCGGGGGGGGGGGGGGGGGGGTTGGAAGAAATTTAAGCCTTGGGCCCCCAGGTTTGTAAACCCACACTGGTGGTAAAAAATTTTGTTTAATTTCCGGGGAAATTGGAAAATATTTCCCATTTTGAGAAAAAACCCCCCTTAAAAATACTACTATCACAGAGATTTTTGGGGGAAAAAAAAATTTTACATTTCTTTTGGGGGAAACACTTAGGAATAGAATCACTGGTAATAAGGTAGATAAATTTTTTTACTTTTAAATGTAATCCCACTAGCATTATAGGAAATACTCAGTTGCTTTATAGCATGAATGGCATCATCTTCAAAGCATACATTTATAGTTTTGGGGCATTATATTTTAGATCTAGAATATTTTCTTATATATTTACATATGGGTTCTGAAAATAAACTTAAGATCTTCTTGTAGGTTTTGGTGATTGGGCCTTAAGCTTTGGAAAAAAACCAATATAAAATCATCACTAAGTATAATTAATAGATGAATATGACTACAATTATAAACATTAGAAATAGTCCCTAAATGTATTTAGCTATGTCAACAGAAAGTGATCCCCCTTTTAATAATTAGATACCATTATTTTCTTAGGAAAATTATGAAACATAATGAAATACTTTAGATTATAGGTAAATTCAGAATATCCATGCTTTTGAAGTTAAGTACACTTTTTATTTAGTTGCTAATAATTTTTATTTTACATCCAGATTTTTAAAATATATTGTATCAAATAGTAATTGAATCCATATGGTGAAATGCAAAAATGAGGCTACAGGTTGATTTTTCTCAGAATGCAATATTTTCTAGAAGGAATTATTTCTTATTTGTTAGACGAATTTTTCAGTTGTGATGATTTTAATATTTTAAATCCCTTCTGTATATTTTAGAATCATTGTGTTTTATTCCCATAATGTGTTAAACTTATTATAGCATATGCATAATATTAAAAAGGCTGTTTTATAAGTTGTATGCAACAGCTAAATAAGGTCATAAAAATCAGTTCCAGAAGCTGCAGAGGAAATGATTATGGTATTATTATAAAAGTTAAGCAAATAACGTTTTTTTAAAAAAATTTTGTTTTATTGCTTAAAGTATTACAAAGAGTATTATATATGTCTCCTTTTTTTTCCTCCCCTTGACCTTCCCCTGGCCTCCCATACTCCCCAGTATCTTGTGTCCATTGGTTATGCTTATATGCATGCATACAAGTTCTTTGGTTGATCTCTTACCCCCGCCCCAACCCTCCCCAGCCTTCACTCTGTTCGATGTTGCTCTGCCTCTGTATCTATTTTTGTTCATCAGTTTATAATGGTCTTAATTATCCACAAATGAGTGAGATCATGTGGTATTTTTCTTTCATTGACTGGCTTATTTCACTTAGCATAATGCTCTCCAGGTCCATCCATGCTGTTGCAAATGGTAAGAATTCCTTCTTTTTTACAGCAGCATAGTATTCCATCGTGTAGATGTACCACAGTTTTCTAATCCATTCATCTGCTGATGGGCACTTAGGCTGTTTCCAGATCTTTGCTATGGTAAATTGTGCTGCTAAGAACATAGGGATGCATATATCCTTTGTGATTGGTGTTTCTGTTTTCTTGGGATATATTCCTAGAAGTGGAATCACTGGGTCAGATTGGAGTTCCATTTTTAGTTTTTTGAGGAAACTCCATACTGTTCTCCACAGTGGCTGCACCAGTCTGCATTCCCACCAGCAGTGCATGAGTGTTCCTTTTTCTCTGCATCCTCTCCAGCACTTGTCGTTTGTTGATTTGTTGATGATAGCCATTCTGACAGGTGTGAGATGGTACCTCATTGTTGTTTTGAAAGCAGATAACTTCTTAATCTTGAGAAACTTAAGACATTTTCAAATTCTTGTTTCCAGCTATTTTTTAAAAATTAGCTATCAGTTATATTAAATCCAAATAGTAGAATCATTGTTTTCTTCTGAAAAGACTCTTCTGTGTTCCTTTAAAATATACATTATTTGCTGCTAAGTCCTACTGAAATCACTTAGGGGAAAACAGATCTCTGCAACCACTAGCCAGAAAATATTCTAGTTTTTAATTTTTTTTTAAAAATATATTTTATTGATTTCTTACAGAGAGGGAAGGAGAGGGGTAGAGAGTTAGAAACATCGATGAGAGAGAAACATCGATCAGCTGCCTCCTGCACACCCCCCACTGGGTATGTGCCCGCAACCAAGGTACATGCCCTTGACCGGAATCGAACCTGGGACCCTTCAGTCCGCAGGCCGACGCTCTATCCACTGAGCCAAACCGGTTACGGCTAGTTTTTAATTTTAAATATGGTTCTGAAAAGAGTTTGAGCTACACAGTTATCAATTTTTTTTTATCATCTGTTTAGCTTTCTACTTATCTTTCCTGATTCTGAGTGTATCTACTTTTTTTTATATTGGTTGATTCAAATTTATAACTGATACCAGATAACTATCAGATTAGATAGTAAAATATTAAGGCACATTGCATTACTTGATTTAAAGTTTAGTTCTTAGTTTATTAATCACTTTCTTTAGATACATATCTATTTTTATTGCTAAATCTACAAAGAGCTCTTTGCTGAATTATCTTTTATTGAGAAAATAATTATCATGGCTAATTAACACAATATGCAGCTTCCCCTCATCTTCTTAAGTCATGGCATTTATAATAAAGGTTATTAGGCTGCAGTTCATGTGTATATGCTTAAATAAATTATTTTTCAGGATATAATAAGTGTTAATAGGAAGCAGGGCAATTATGTTAGACCAGAAAAATTGTGGCAGAGTAGCCTGTGCCTTAAATCCAGTGTGCGAACTATAAATTTAAACTCACAGAGAGATGGGAGAATGCCAAAGGGAAACCAGAATTCTAAAGTCCTCACTAGCTTTTTTATGGCATTACCACCTTTACTTTCTTGCCCTTTACTTTCTTGTGGTTGTATTACACCTTTACTTTCTTGTGGTTGTATTACACCTTTACTTTCTTGTGGTTGTATTACAGCCTTTACAACGCACTACAATATCAAGAGGGGAGGCTACAATTGCAGAACTTTGCCTTATAGTGGTGATGGTGGCAGCTCTAAGATAACTTTATATCTGACATCCTAAACTTTTGAGTGCATGCAGTTTAAATTGAAAATTATCAACTTAATATCTATATAACAATTACAAATTTTCAGTGAAATATTTTCATTTTTGTAGGAATCGAAAATAAAAAGTGAGTGCATATTCTGTGTTTGGTTCTATACAAGGTACATATCTTTTAGGTAAAGTATGACATGAAATAATTAGAAAATAAAACATTTTATAGAGTAAACTAGAGGCCCGATGCACGAAGATTCATGGGCCTTCCTGCCCCTGGCTGCCGGCACCGCCTTTGCTCCAGCCTGGAGGCGCCTTTCTGCCTTCCCACGCTGCCCAGAGGCCTGGAGCGGTTGGGGCAGTGTGGAATGCCTGCATAGTTGCCATGGCGACGGCACAAGTGTCCTGCCCCGCCCCCGGCCTCTCAGCACCTGCGTATGCAAATTAACCCGCCATATTTGTTGGGTTAATTTGCATACTCACTCCTGATTGGCTGGTGGGCGTCGTGAAGGTATGGCCAACTTGCATCTTTCTCTTTTATTAGTGTAGATACCACAAATTGAGAAATTTTGCCTTTTTTCCTAGGCCTTTTTTGGCAGATGCCAAAGGATCTGTGATGTGATTAAAATGTGAGAAAATTTGTATAAGGGGAACTGGATTATTGCAACCATTATCTGTACTAGGATACTGGAAAATGATTAACTTGCCTTTCATTACCATACTGAGGCGCTAAATAGCTGTACCTATGCTTTTGTACCTAATTATTTCATAGGGAAATCCTTTCTGTTACCCTGAATGAAAACTGATTCGGGTTATTATAGTGCTGATATTTGCCAATATGATGTACTTTTTCTATATCAAATTCTTAAGAACCTAAATTACTGTCCCTGTGGATTTGTACAATTAGATGTTTATTACCATAGCTATTTTTAGTTACCTGTATTAGACTTTTCATTCTTGTTCTATCTTCAGATACTTGAATTCAGTTTGAGGTAGAGGTTGTAGTAAGCTCTTTGAAAATAGAAAAGCCATTTTTTTCATGTTTGCCACTTATGTGCATAACCTTTTCCTCTT